TCCTTTTTTTATAAAGAGAACTTCTTTATTATTAATCGAAAAGCAGAGCTAATAAATTACAAAGTACGATTATAATAATTATCATCATTTTGCATACTATTATGATGATAAATTTGACTGACACAAAAATCAAAATTTTCAGGGGTTTCAGGTGATACCTTTCGAACTGGAATCTATTCTACTTACATATGATGCTGTAACAGATGCAGCAGTATTAGGATATTATTCTGAAGAAGAAGCATCCGAAATTCCTATAGCATATGTCGTAATTAAAAACGGGTATGAGCAGTCTCAACCTTTAGCAGGAGAAATTCAATCTTTTGTAAATGACAAGGTTGCACCACATAAAAAATTAAGAGGTGGAATATTGTTTATTGATAAAATTCCAAAAAATATGACTGGTAAAATTTTAAGACCAGTTTTAAAGGAGAAATTAAAGAATGATAAAAGAATTAAAATGAATTAGTTTATTTGTTTATTAAAATCTTTTAATATATTATTTTATGTCAAAGACAAATTATTCATGAAGTAATAAATGGTATTTTTTACAAACCATTATTTTTTATCTGTTTTCTGAGTTCAAAATGGGCTATGTTGTATTGGATATAGCTAGGCCCAAGCCCAAACTATTAATTCATAAACCTAGTTCAATGTTATATTTAAAATTTTAATAATTATTATTAAGCATGTGTATATAAGATATTGCTTTATTTATCGCGCTTTTCAAATTACTGTGTCTACTGATTTTCATACATCACACTGGGAATCAGAAATGCCAATACGTGATTGGCTAAAAATTATTTTTAACAAATCACAGATTTGAATTTCTGATTTCCCGACTTTACTGATGCCAAAACTTATCATTTCGGTTACTTTTCAAGTGTCTCAGACATTATAGAAAACAGCCGTAATGCAGATCTAACAATTTCATATGTATAAACACGTGTTATGTTTTATTAATCGACGCATGTCCGATTGAAACATGACTCAAGTCAGTTCTTAAGGCTGATAATACAAATAGTTCTTTTACTGTCATGTACTTTTTTATTCTTCGTAATACTTATGGATTTACAAGTTACAATTTTCTATCACCAATGAGAAAATGTCAAGTTCGTAATATTAAAGACTCTTAGTTCATAATATTTAAAACACTTTTAACCTAAAATATTCATATAAAATATTCAAAAACGTCCA